AAAAAAAAAAAAAAAGACCAGGTTTACTGGTCTGATCAAGACTGGTGGAACACCCAAGACTATGATCCTTAGGACACTCTTCAAGCCTCAAACCTGGAATGAAAGCCGCTCTCCCCTATCCACCCTTCCCTTGTCTCAACTTTCTACACTAGGCAGGCCTCTGAAGTAAGCAGTAACACTTGGGAAGATAAGCTCCTTATGTCATCCAACCTTATGAGATCAAAAGGGCAGTGTTTGTCCAGGCTGAGAGGCTGAATGGAAATGGCAAACACAGCAGGGAAATTGGAAGATTTCTGTTACACGGTGGCAACTGTAATAAGTATCGCAAGAAAATTATGTATGAATTGTTGAGTGGAAAACCAGTTTACTCTGAACTTTCACCCATATTGTTATAAAAGATTTTTAAAAAAACAACAAAACAAGATAATAGTAGAACCTACTTCTAAAAGTGATACTAGGTTTAGAGAAAGGGATTTTCAATGGAAGGCTTTTGTTTTATTTTAATTTGCATTAAAAAAAAACAGCACATTTTTTATCTGTTCTATAATCAAATTCTTGAAATTTCTGTTTGAAGGTATGTTAATGTGTTATTAAAGCTTAATTCTTGGATTTGTTAAAGTGCTGTTTTATATATCTTTGAAAATGTCTTTAGCCCGTGTTGAAGAAAATATATTTTTATGAAAAATAAAAAATAGATTTAAACATGTAAATGGACCAAAAATTTGCACATTATAAAATGTTTACTCAAACAATAGTATATTTATATAGATACTTAATGTATATAAAATTATGAACAAAATGGTTACATTTTTCATGTTAATCATTTTCCTTTCTAATTCAGATATGCTGTATCCTTTTCTAGTGCTGCTGGAGGTGAAATTTTTGACCAGTGTGTTGCAGACAGGGATGAAGCCTTTAAAGAAAAAGATGTGCAAAGACTTATGAGGCAAATTTTAGAAGGAGTTCGCTTTTTACATACTCATGATGTGGTTCATCTTGACTTGAAGGTAAGATGTGAATTACTTTACAGTTTTGAGGTTATTAGAACTGAAGTTACTCCATGCATTTATCAAGTCTGTATGAGTGTTTGGTTACAAGTATACACCAGTTGAGACTTGACTCTCATCTTCTTGCCAGTTAGTTGGATTCGTAAAATAAAATGCATCTGTGGACAAAGAATGATCAGTTGTAATACATTGCCCAAAGCATGGAGTTCAGAGTGTATTCATATGTATGGTATGTGAAGGCTTCCTGGAAGAGACAGGACTTGAGCTGACCTGTCTAAAAAAGGAATTAGGTATTGGAGGGAATTACCTCTCAAGAAGTAGGAATACTTGAATGTGTTTGGGAGAAAATTAATGGAGAGATCAATAAATAGAAAGATGTGAAAAATTGAGACAAGGTTTGATTCCGGCAGTGTCAAATATCATGTAGAAACACTTGCATTTAGTTTAGTTATAGTGGAGAGTTATAGATGACCTTTGAGCTGGAAGATTTGGAAAACAGTATATAAAATTAGGCAGGTAACAGTAAATACAATAAACTAGGATTGAAAGAGTGTTGTTGTTAAGTCCCATTGAGTTGGTTCTGACTCATAGCGACCCTATATAGGGTTTCTGAGGAGCAACTAGGGGGTGGAGGGTTAGCCACTGACTTTGCACTTAGCAGTCTGGTGCTTATCCTACAGCATCACACCAGAACTCTTGAAAGAAATTACAGACAGGTATATTTCTAATTTTAAATTGTCCAAAAAAGGAAAACTAGAGGAAGGGTGGGAAGACACCAAGAGCAGTATACTTACCGATTAACACGGGTAGGTTTCAGTGAGCATGTTGTCATTCAGAGACAATGTTGTGCAAGGATGAGGAGGATGCTGCGGTACTTCTGGATCCTGGAGTCTCTGAACCCCAAGTCCGTGCTGTTAGGGCTGCCACTTGAGCAGACGTGGGGCCTAGTTGCTGGGCTAGAAGCAGTTAGTTGGTGACCTTGTGGCCCAGGCAACCAGCTGGACCAGGAGTCAAGACAGTGGAAGTTGTTGCCCATGCCCTAGCCAGCTGCTGCTATCCTTCAGGACGGGGAGAACGCCGTGTAATAAGTGGTCCACTGTGCTGGTTGTACAAGGTTTGCTTGAGGTTGAGAGCCTGTAGACTCCAACTGCTTGGAAGAAGAGTTCAGCAGTCCAGGCCACAGAGAGGAAGAAGGGTGCCTAGCTTCTGCTTTAACCCCCAAATTACCCCCACTATCTTCCCTGCTGTAGGACTTGGCCTCTGTAGGTGCTTGAGTGGAGCAACACCCCCACCCCCAGCTTCTTGAGCCCCTCAGACCACTTGCAGCCATGCCCTTCTCAGAAGAAGTCCCTCAAAGTTCACCACGCTTGGCTCTTTTAAATGAAGCCCTACAGTGGCAGGCCAGGCCCTGGGAATGGTACTAATGAGAGGCCTTATGAAGGGCTGGCTGCTTCGGCTGCAGCCTGACAGGTGGCTCTGTGGGCTGGCAGCTGGACACAGGTAGGAAGCTGAGGGTGATGCAGGAAATAGTCCGAATTTTTAATATTGCCATAAATACGAAATACTGGATAGTAAGAGTTGATAGGTAAAGAATAGACTCATGTATCATGAGAAGGTAAGCAGACAAGGAAATTGTATTGGTTAAAATGTCCAGAGAGAAAGCGCGTTTTTGTCAAGGCAGTATTGGGAACTCAGAGAGCATTTGCAGTACGTGGCTTGTCTTTAGTCCTCAGCTTTGCCTTCTCAGAATAGCAGGAAGATGGTGGTAAGATGAATGCTGCCATTGTTGCCTGGCACATGCCCAGAGGTTCAGCAGAGAAAAAGCCCACTCTGTTCACTAGCTCTCTCTAATGTCCTGAGATTCATTCTGATTAATATACCAGTTACCATACTAAGGGATCTAGGGCCTTGACTGGCTGGACCACAACAGGCCATAGGCTCCAGCCTTGTAGATGTGAGCCGCCACCCCCATCTTTCACATGGACTGTGAGTTGTGAGTGAATTACGGAAATTGTTCTATTTCTCAGTGGAGAGCGAGCACTTGGGAGGCAAACAGGAAATGAAGTGCCTTCAGGCATCTGCTACAGAAGTTTAAAATCCCCATCGGTTTTTGGATGTTTGCTTTCATGCTAAGTCCAGTTATGGCTGTGGGGAGATGAAACAGTCCTCAAACATTGAACACATCACAGTGATTCTAGCTTCTCTTTTTTATTTCACTTATATAAAACATAACTTACTAACCAAATGCACCAGGATTTGGCAGAAGGGTAATCTAAAAAAGCTAAAATTACTAGCTCCCAAAAGGCTTCCCAATCCTAAGCTTCTACTTTCTCTTACTGCACATCGTATAGGCCCATCCATCCACCTTGACATCTGCCTTAGACCCTCTGCCAGAATCCACTGCCATTGAGGTGATTTCGACTCATAGCAGTACTTTTTGGACAGCATGACTTTTTCCCAGGGCTGTAAATCTTTATGGGATCAGACAGTCTCATCTTTCTCCCCTGCTGAAGATAAAAATTCAAACCTCCAACCTGTGGTTTGCAGCACTTACTGCACTACAACACCAAGGCTCCTTCTCTAGCAGAGAGTAGGTTCTATATGGCAGTGGGTCCCCAACTGGAAGAGTTGTTTAAGGGGTCGCTATGAGTCGGTTCTGACTCGATGGCACCTGACAACAACAACAGGCCCCAGCTTCAGAGTTTCTCATTCAGAGTTGAGCCTGAGAATTTTGCATTTTGGTGAAATGATACTGTGAGTCCAACCATATCTTGATAACGACTGCTATCTGCTATACTCCATAACCTTGTACAGACAATACTATTTCTATAACAAGGAGCCCTGGTAATACAGTGGGTGAAACATTTGACAAAGGCCAGTGATTGAAACCCATCAGCTGTTACTAGGGAGGAAGATGAGGCAGGCTTCTTCCATAAAGATTTATTGTCTCCAAAACCCTAGGGAACAGTTTTCCTTCATTCTGTAGGTTGCTGTGAGTCAGGATCAGCTCAATGGCACTGGGTTTCTTGGTTTGTGTCTAGGTTGAAATTACTACTCTTAATTTTTATTGCATGAAGAAACACTTTCAAAGTAGAGTGTATGTACCGTGTGTATGATCTGGAGGTTGACCTCCAAGGTCAACTTGTGATGTTCCTCTCAAAATCAATAGAAGGCTAGAAGATACCACATTACATACTATTTTCCTAAGAAAAATGCAGGGAAACAAAATTTGACAGCTTTCTTTTTCTCTTCTAAAGACGCCAACTTTAATCCAATTTGTAAACAGTTATCTTTTTTCAAAGATATTAACATTCTAGCACATTGGCCAAAATGGACACCTACATCACAGTAGTCACAATGCAGTGACAGTAGCATTTTCTGGAGGCCAGTGTAGACCTGTGTGTACCCTTGTAAGCCCCAGGATGTGAATGCTGAAGTAGTCTGGAGGTAAACCTAGTTTAAATCCTTTATCACAGAAGTGACAACTGAGCATTTTCTTTTCCACTTTTTCCATCATCCATATTAAAAATTCACAGAGCCTTGCATCAAGAAGTATCTATTCTTGTCTTGGGAACATTTACTAGGGAAAGATGTGCATTCAGGCCAGACGTCAGTGGACTCATACTTTAAGAAGACCTCATTAGTACTGCCTATTGCAGATCAAAAACTGACGGTACTGAAGGAATAAGTCCAAGCAGCTGAAGGCATTGGCAAAAATCAACGCTCCAGGAATTCACAGAATACAAATTGAAATCTTTCAACAAGCATATGCAACACTATAGAGACACTCATTCATGCTAAGAAATTTGGAAGACAGCTACTTAGCCAACCGACTGGAAGAGATCCATATTTGTGCACATTCCAAAGAGAGGTGACCCAACAGAATGTGGAAACCATCAAACAATATCATTAATATCACATGCCAGTAAAATTTTGCTGAAGATACTTCAAAAAACTGCAGCAGTGTATCATCACTGAAGCTGGATACAGACGAGAAGATGTAACTAAGGATAGCTCTGCTTATGTCAACTGGATCTAGGCTGAAAGCAGAGAATACCAGACAGATGTTTGCTTGTGCTGAACTGACTGTACAAAGGCTTTCGACTGTGCGGATCATGACAAGCTATGGATAACATTGCAAAGAATGGGTATTCCAGAACACTTGGTTGTGCTCATGAGGAATCGTATATAGACCAAAAGTTTGAACAGAACTTGGGGATGCTGAATGGTTTAAAATCAGGAAAGATGTGTGCCAGGGCTGCATTCTTTCACCATACATATTTAATCTTATAATTAAGTGCCATCAAGTTGCTTCCGACCCACAATTTTGTATAGGGTTTCAGAGGAGTGACTGCTGGGTTTGAACCACCGACCTTGCAGTTCAAACTGACTTTGGTCTATTGCATTATCCTGTAGCACCACACCAGAACTCTGTATGCTGAGCAGATAAATCTAGAAGCTGGATTATATGTCAAAGAATGTGGCATCAGAATTGAAGGAAGACTCATTAACAACCTGTAATATGCAGACAATACAACCTTGTTTGCTGAAAGCAAAGAGAAGAGAACTTAAAATACTTCTTGATGATAATCAAAGACTACAGACTTCAGGATGGATTGCACCTCAATGTAAAGAACACAAAAATCCTCACCACTGGACCAATAAATAACATCATAATAAATGGAGAAAAGATTGAAATTGTCAAAAAAAACTTCATTTTGTTTGGATCCACCACCGACACTCTTTGTACAGAAATAAAAAGACTTGTAGCATTAGGCAAATCTGCTACACAAGACCTCCTTAACGTGCAGAAGAGCAAAGATAGTAGTTTGCAGACTAAGGTGTGCCTGACCCAAGGCTTGATAATCTTAATAGCCTCATATTCATGTGAGTTGGACATGAATAAGGAAGACAGTAGAATGCATTTTTGAGTTGTGGTGTTGGAGGAGAATATTAAGAGTACCATGGATTACCAGAAGAACAAACAAATTTGTGTTTGA